TTGAATTGTGAACTGTATTTTATCTGACTGTTGACTTAACTTTAACATATTTTCTCTTTTACTTACATTTCTTTGTAAATCATTATAATAATGTAAACCTAGAACAGCTCCCTAAACCAGAGTAGATAAAAAGGTAAAATATTATAAATGCAGAAAACCACACCATAAAATTGGGATTTTTTTGCTTCAGACCAAAGCCAAATTCAATCAGTTTATATCAATAATTTGTGGAAGGAGTTAAAATGTTTAAGCTGGTCAGCTTTTGAGTTCTGGTGGAAAAACATTCATATCAAAATATCCCTATCTCAGTTAACTTCATAGATGATTACATTTTAAGTATGTTATGGGGAAATAAAACCACACTTGGCAATGGAAAAATAAGAGAATTATATATATTGATAGTTTAGTGAAAAAGAATCATTTAGGGAATATAATACTCATCTTCAATAATAGGAATAGTTTTGTATTTCCATTAAAAGCTTAAAAAGTGATTTTTGGACTTCATAATTAGTGAAAATTCCAAACAAATATTCATATGAGATTCCATTAAAGTAACCTGAAATAGTACAAATAATTATTTTAAGCAAAGGATCAATTTATGTAGAAGAGAGAGGCTTGGTATAGGGTAAATTGTAGTGAAGAGAACATGAAAAATTCAAGCGTGACTCAATTTCTGGGATGTAGTCCAAGAAGATACTTCAGCATATTATATTAAATATTTTTGTGTCTACAACTTCTAATAGATGTGACTATTAGACACTAACAATTCATAAATCATTAAAGTTTGTGGCCTCATATTCAGAAAACATTTTTTCAGTTTTATGTACTATTAGATAAAAATTTACAAGTAATGTTTTTCCAACTCAGTAACGTCTCCATGAATCAGACTTCCTTCAGCATATATATGATATTACTAAAAAAAAAATTGTGTTCTGTGGAAGCAGGCTTATTCTGTTGCAAAGAAGATGTAAGTAAGTAAGTAAGTAAAGGCCCTCCGGTTGATCATCGATTTGCTTGAGCGGGCCCAGTAACGTCTCCATTGGAGACTTTGTTGTTACTGTGTCTGGCATATCGAATACGTCACGGGGAGCTTGCCAGGCTCTGCAAAGAAGAAACAGTTTGATTTACAGACATAATGAAACTATGGTAGATTGGCATCATTTATGAAAAGGGAAATTATTGCTATATAAAAGAGTGAGAGTTTTCTAACACCCATCCTTTACTGAGTCTCTGTGAGATATATAGTTACAAAGTTGTTTGTGATTGGTTTTTAGTCATACAATGTTCCAACACCTGCCCTTTCACCAGTGTAAATTTCCCACCACCAATGTCCCCATTTCTTTCCCCTGCCCCCAGCCAGCCTCTGTGGCAGGCACTTTTCTTCTCTCTGACTCTGTTTCTGTCTCTGTCTGTATCTGTCTGTCTGTCTTTCTGTCTGTTTCTCTTTCTCTTTGAGATTTTCCTATTTATATCGCTTGTTCTATTTTCTTTGTTTTCCAAATAATTCTTAAAAGCTATATATATTTTAATCAGAGAATGAAGTATACCTGGAAGGTGTAGTCTGTTCAGAATTTTTGCATAGCAGATGTTTATTTATTTATTTATTTATTTATTTGCGGAGTAGGGTGTTCCAAGTGGTATAATGTAGCTGTGGAGTCCAGTTGGCCATTGTCTACCAACTGCTCTGTAGGTTCAGAGCAAGCGCCAATAACTAGGATGGTGTCCGAGCACTGCTGTGTTAGAGATAGTTGGATCACACTAGCAGTGCTGCAGATGCCCAGGGCCGCACCCAGCAGTATTTGATGGCCTGCAGGGCTGTATTCAGCTATGCTCTGGGGATGAGGAAGTGCTGGAATTGAACCCAGGCATAATCCTTTGAATATGTCCTGCCATTGATTTTCTCTGACTGTTTTTGTTTCATTTTGTTGTCAGCTCTCTGTGTTGCAGCGATAAGCTTGAGTCATTATAGAAAAGTTTTCTCAGTTCTCTAAGTCTTTGGCTGGCTGTGGTGCATTTGCTAACTTTCTAGTTTATTACCCACATATTCTGGTCTTTATTTCTGACTCAAAATAGCAAAAAGAAAGAAGAAAGAAAGAAAGAAAGAAAGAAAGAAAGAAAAAAAGAAAGAAAGAAAGAAAGAAAGAAAGAAAGAAAGAAAGAAAGAAAGAAAGAAAGAGGGAGAGGGAGATAGGGAGGGAGGGAGGGAGGGAGGGAGGGAGGGAAAGAAAGAAAGAAAGAAAGAAAGAAAGAAAGAAAGAAAGAAAGAAAGAAAGAAAGAAAGAAAGAAAGAAAGAAAATAGATTGGATGGGACTGCGGGGTGTTACTAAACCTTTTAAGTTCTATGGAAATAACTTCTCTTGAAAGTCAGGAGCTGTCAACAGAAGAACCAGGGAGGCCACCTATCTCTGTGTAATTATAGGATCAGAAAAGGTTCCCCATATTACTACACACTCTGTTCAAGGTACTCAGGAAGAACAGGAAGAATGAGAAAGAGAGAGAGAGAGAGAGAGAGAGAGAGAGAGAGGAGAGAGTGAGGGAGAGAGGAAGAGAAGGAGAGAAAGGGAGAGAGAGAGAGGGAGGGAGAGAGGGATGGAGGAGAAATGGAAGGAGGGAGAGAGAGAGAAGTGCAGACTGGGTGGGGTGAGTGTTGGGAGTGATGGGATGGAAATTGGGGACACTGGTGCTGGGAAATGTACACTGGTGGAGGGGTGGATATTGGAGCATTGTATGACTGAAACTCAATCATGTAAGCTTTGTAACTGAATCTCCAGTGATGCAATTAAAAAAATTAGAAAGATTAATTTTCCTTATCCCTCAGAAGTTACAAGCCTTCAGATTCTCTAGAGTTATATAGTTACACCAGACAGATTATACTAGTGCAATTACTACTATTTAGGTTGCACTGTTTTTTGCTACTCTTCTGTCCTCCCAGAATCCTCTGGAATGAAAATTTTTCTAACAGTGTCTTCTTCACATAGAATCATTATATTTTGGGGGGGGGGGGTGTTAATTTTTTCTTTGTTTTCTTTTTTTAATTTTTTTTATTAGTGAAACACCATGAGGTACAGTTGTAGACTTACAAATTTTTGTGCTTGGCTTTCCCTTGTACAATGATCGAGTACCCATCCCTCCACCAGTGCCCATTTTCCACCACCACTGATCCCAGTACTCCTCCCACCCTCCTCATCCCCCCATCCCACCCTACCTCTGTGGCATGGTACTCCCTTTTGTTCTCTCTCTCCTTTTGGGTGCTGTGGCCTGCAGAAGAGGGATCAGGTGGCAACATGTTTGAGCTAGAGTCTAGTCTTAGCATGCTGCTCCCATCCTGGGGGAATCCTCCCAATACCCCCCATTTGGTGCTCCCTTATACATCTGGGCTACCTTTACCCCTAGAGTGTGAAGCTGGCCTCCAAGCCATTGAGTAAACCTCCTGGTATTTATCTCAGCTATTCTTGGGTGTTAGTCTCCTATTTTGTTACTTTATGTTCCCCAGATGAATGCAATCTTTCTATATCTGTCCCTCTCTTTCAGACTCATTTCGCTTAGCATGATACTTTCCATGTAGTACCACTTGCATGTAAATTTCATGACTTCATCCTTTCTGACAGCTACATAGTATTCCATTGTGTAGATGTACCAAAGTTACAGAATCTTTATATTTAGTTTTCACTGAAAGAGTTTTATTATGACTAACAAGCTACGAAAATTTTGGGACAGATTTGAATTTTTCTTTATTCTTGTACTAAGGAAATGATTAAAAATATGAATCCTGTGTGCATAAAATAGTACTTTATAAACCTAATAAATATGTATAAATCTTATAAATGACATAGACTGAGATGAGCTTGAGACTCCGAAGAAATTGATCAAGGTACCTGTGTAAACACTGACTGAAGCTGTTATGTATATATAACAGCTGATATATAGTCAAGTATCATGAATTTGATTATTTCATGATATTGTTTGCTACAAGTAAAGTTCTCTTATTGCATTGCTAGGCAATAGTCAGGATATATTAATCTCACTTTCACAGTGGCCTTTCAAGAAGTTGTTTAGATAATTTTATCCATAATTATAAACTGGCATGAACAATATAATTCTATTCTAGAAATAAAGTGGATTTGGAAACTGCACAAATGGAAGAGAGATATTTTAAGATGAAGAGCAAGGAAATACAAAATAGCACTGCTCAATTTTTGTACTTCTTACTTAATGTTTTTGTACTTCTTACTTAATGTTTGTTCTTACTTAATGGTTATATTAGAAAATATCAGTAACCATGTCTTTAATTGGTACTTTGTGCATCCTATTACAAAATATGTGAAATTTTAAAAACAAGATGTAGACGTCACTTTATTTTAGAACAAACACTGTCCTCTCGTTGTTCATCAATTTGCTCGAATGGGCCCAGCAACGTCTCCATTCTGAGACTTGTTGTTACTATGTTTGGCATATTGGATACATCATGGGTAGCTTGCCAGGCTTTGCCGTGTAGGCAAGATACTCTCGGTAGCTTGCCAGGCTCTCCGAGAGGGGTGGAGGAATTGAACCCGGCTCAGCCGGGCCAGCTGCACGCAAGGCAAACACCCTACTGCTGTGATATTGTTCCAAATACATTTTTAATATTGAAGTTTGTTAGAAATTATTATTAATTTATTAAAAAATTACATTATTTCCTTCACTTGCATTGGAGTTGGTTCAGATTCAGAGTTACTAAACAATTGCACTGAGATTTGCACTACTTGATTTTAGAGCACTTGAGTACTCAAGTTCTCACTTTATTCTACTTGGGAATTAAAAGTCTTAGACCATATATGTTTACATGTTTGCACTGAAAAAATGCTTAATATTTTCTCAGTAGCAAATAGAAAGTTTTCCTGTAAATAAGCATTCTGATATATACTATCTTAACTTCTGTAGCCTTAAGAAAATTTAAAAGTATCTTTGTAAAAGCTGTGTAAACTGAAGTATGTACATTTTAATGTTATTATTTGTGCAGGCTGCCTTAGAGAAAGAATGGCTAGCTTCAGATTCCTCCCGCTTCCCTTCACAAACACTGCTTCTCCCAAACCAGCTGCACTGGCCAAAGGTAACATGTCATGGAAACCTCTTAGTGCTCAATCTTTGCTCATTTTCTTAAGGTTATGCTATGCTGGAGTGATTAATAATACAATTTATTGACTTGAAAAACACAATTACTTTTAGAAGCATCTGACTTCCTCCTCATCCCCAGATGTGATTTTTCATGTAGCTTTCTTTCATTTGCTCCTAATTTTTTCTTTATTTTGGATTTCTTTCAACACTTTATTTCACAGTAGCAAAAAAAAAATGATACGCTTCAGCTGCATATTTGGCAGTAGACTAAAATCACTAGTTGACAGCACTTTAAAATTACAAAAATATGCATTAAGAGGGCAACAGCTGAAGATTCTCAGTCAAAGGTCAATGGACTACAATATCTGTTATTTATTTGATGATCTTTGAAGTTTTTATTTTCTAAAATTTTCAAAGATCTCTGTAATTAATCATTTTGTATATGCAAACTACACCAAAAGCCATATTTCTCACTTTTAAAAAAGGAAAAGACATTAGTATGTTTTTATAAATTTTATTATAATTTTCAACTTATATAAATTTCCCTTATGAGGCTACCTGGTAATATGTTCTTAAAATAATACCTTATGAATGCTATAATTTCTCAGCTTACTTTATATTTATATGTATGTCTTTTCTGATAAAGTTCTCTGGAACATTCAAGTGTGATGACACTTCCCTTAGTTTACCAAGTCATCCTGCTCAAGCTTGGCTCAGCAATGAGAAGGAAAATTCATTTTCATCGGAACACACACATTTAATTAGCAGGTAAAGCTATTTTAACTGAAATTAAATTAACTGTCTCAGAGGATCAACTCATGAATGACAAAAACATTACACATTTAACAAATGTAATAGAATTATAAAAATAGATGAAAATTTATTTTTTCGTAAGATGAAGGGACGTTAAATGTTAAGAGTATAATACCTATATGGAATTTTCAGTTTCTGAAAAATACTAGTCTGGTACATTAAACAACTGCAAAGTTTGTATGAGTGAAATTGCATAATTAATTGTTGTAAACGAACAGACTTTTAAATGCTGCTATATAGGTAGAGATAAGAATTAGAATAAAAATTCCCAGTGCTACATTTCTCCCGACAAAGGGATTGAAATATGCTTCAAGTAATTGAAATGTAAACATTTAAAATTAATGGCAGACTTTTATTACTGTTCAAGATAAAGTTTTTCTGTAACTTAAATTGACTCTATTTCCAAGTTTCAGACAACATAAATAGCCTGCAGTTTTCAAAAGTGCTGAAATACTAGTGTTGACTAAATTAAGGGTTGTCTTTTTCTACTAGCAGATTAGAAGATAGAACTTTATCCTGGACACCTGAATCAAAGACCAGTAGAAAGAGTTTGCTAAAATCTGAAAAAGAAGAAAAAATTTCAGAAGAATGGTAGGTAGTTTATTTTACACTAAATGTTAGGAAATTGAAATTAAATGTTAGACATATTTTTCAAAATTTCAGACACTTTTGTTAGTTTTTTAGAAACTATATAATAACTGTTAAGTGCAGGTTCTTTAATGGAATCCAAATTCTTTGTAATATGACTCAGATTTGTATATTTACATATATATGCTATTGTAAATATCTTCTCAATATTTGTTTTTTCTTTATTAATTTAATCTTTTAATAGGGGATTTAAGGATATTTCAACTGCTCAGCAAATGCTGAAAAGAGCACGAAAAATGAAAGCAACAAAATTAAGGAAAAACTTAGGTGGGTAACAAAGTTCTTTCAATTATAATCGTATGTAAGATTAAAGATAACTTTTAAAATATTTTATCAAATATGATTTAATAAGAATAAATTAATTCCACATATATGAATACATATATCTCTTAAATCTGTCTTATATTATCCTAGATAAAATTAATAATTCCGAAGTAACACATAAGAATCTTAGAGAAAATTATAATGTTATTGCATTGAATGATTGTTAGAGTTTGCAAAGTTATCTTCACATTTCTCTCTGTAGCTTATCTATGTGGCCATTGATTGTTGGAATGTATACTGAGTATTATACTGCATTTGTTCCTAAGTCATTTTATTTTGGACAATATTGATTCTAAACACAACCTTTTCTAAATATATATCTGACTTTATATGTTTTTTAACTTATTAATCATCTGATGGGCTATTTGTTTTAATTCATCGTTTCTCTGACTCTTCACTATGAAAACCTATTTGACACTTTAAAAGAGAAGCATAATGTGTATCCTTTATAATTATGCAGAGCTTGGAAAATATTTAAAGGCATTTTTTTCTTCTATGCTCCTTGACAAAATTTCCAAATTATTTTATTTGGACACTCTTGGACATTGTAATGTAATTGCTTAATGTGTAGAGAAGCTTATAGGAGTGAAGACAGAAATGCAGGTTCTTATGACTTTACGATTGAAATAATTTGCATATTTCATTTTCTTCGCACCTATTCATAACTTTTTATTCACACATTAAATCACAGACTTACTCTAAGTAAAATAATTTTAAAAAATTCTTAGTTTCTCTTGTTTTGTCAATTATCTTTTATCTACGTAATGAAACACATTAATAAAATTACCATATCTTGAAACAATTATGGAAACTATACCTATCCTTTTACTTTTTGCAAAAGTATGCAAAGAAGCATCTAGATACATTTCAATAAATATTTTGTTGAATATCCATTGTTTACAATACTACATGAATGTTGGGAGTAAAGCTTTACAGTTTTCTACATATGAGTTTAATTTTATCTTTTCATAAATTTTATATTCATTACTGTAATAAGTAGTTTACTAGTAAAATTCTAAGAAATATGTACATATGTGCTATTTATATTTAATAAGGATATAAACATATTTTATCTTTTGTAAACAGAAACAAAAATAACCATAATACTGTTGGTTTCTGAAGAAGAGATAATAATTGCTGGCATAGCTCATATTAACCATTGACAGCTATAAACAATTCATTTTATCTTTGCAAATGTAACTTTTTTGGTATTATATTAGTAATGTCTAGATTTTATCTTTTTGTTAAAACAACAAAGTTACTTATTTACTAAAAGTTTTTCAGATTTAAAATATTGAAAATTTAGATGTTTTAAAGGTAAAAATATGGCATTTGTCAACTTGCTTTAAGCCTCCTGTAAAACTGTTTAATAAATACATTTTAAGTTCATCAATATTCTGTGAACTGAAATCGATGTGGTATTTGCCCAAGAAAATAGCAACTGCAAGTCTTTAATAGGATATTTTAGTTGGGAAAGTGGAATCCAGTCAGTAAGTCAGAGTAGTTTGATTAACTTTTTAATTGTTTTAATGTTCTTTCCTACTCATCTTAAACATTGTCCATGAACATACCCAATAAGTTGTTCTGAGAATAACTTCTGAAACTTCTGGTGTAAGTTTATTTTTTGAAACAATTTTTATTGAGAGAACATTAGTTTTAATCTTCAGGCATAAATTGTATGTAAAAAATGGGACAGTTTAAATAGTATTATTTGAGAACAGATTGAATTTCAACAATTACTGATATAACTATTACATATTCCCAGTATTCTCATGTTTCTAATAATTAAGGTAGAGAAAAGTATATCATGCTAGAATTTTCATATCAATCTGTCTCTGGAGATACTGATGTCTTATTGTCATTTCTTACAACTCAGAGTTTTTAATGTCTAGTACATGTTTGATATATGAGCAATATAAATAAGATATAAAACTTTCAAATAGGAAATATATATTCATATATAAAATTGTTACTTTAATGACAAAATTAGATAATTATTATAAAGATGAAAATGTCTTTTTATCTGTCACAAGGGGGCATGCTAGGATAACAAATGAAAATAGAAGGCAGAAAAGTTAACTAGTCACAAGCTTAACGTTTTGACAGTGGTAATCAATCCTAACCTGTTAGGTAAAAATCCAAGATGGTAGTTATAATTTTTATGGGAACCATTAATTAAATGATTGTAAACCAACTGTCTTCTTGTTACTATGTGAACTTTCAGATTTCTATTAAAATGTTTTGCTTTTTCAAGTTACTAGTGATCAAATAAGAGCAATTTTTCTTTAAACATTGAATGCTGAAATGTAAGTCTTAATGACATTTAAATTACTCGCACGGTTTTTCTCTACTCTCCCACAGCAAGATTCAAGGTAGGATTAAAAGTTGAAAACATGAAAATCATCAGAAAACTCTCAAATTATGCGTTTTCTTTTATATTGAGAATATAGCACTTATTTATGTGTCAGTGAGTGAATCAGTTAAGACTGTGCTTAAAGTTTATTTTTATAAATGAAGAATTTCTACTTTTATATTGTTAAAATTAATGATATATACTTATTTAAAATTCCTAAGATAATAGCTATGATTCTTAACTGTAACTAAGTTAATCACAGGAACCATACTTAAATATTTAATTTCTTGAGTCAGAAAGAAAGAAATAGACGTAGAAAGATTGCATTCATCTGGGGAGCATAAAGTAACAAAACAGGAGACTAACACCCAAGAATAGCCGAGATAAGTACCAGGAGGTTTGCTATATGGCTTAGAGGCCAGCTGCACATGCTGGGGGAAAAGGCAGCTCAGACAGAGAAGGGAGCTCCAAATAAAGGGTGTTGGGAGGATTCTCCCAGGATGGGAGAAGCAAGCTGAAAGTAAACTATAGACCAAACATGATTACCACTCATTGCCTCTTTTGAAAACCACAACACCCAAAAAGAGAAAGAGAGAACAAAAGGGAATGCTCTGCCACAGAGGCAGGGTGGGATGGGGCGGGGGGGGGGGGGGGCTGGGAGGGATACTGGGATCAGTGGTGGTGGAAAATGGGCACTGGTGGAGGGATGGGTATTTGATCATTGTATAATTGAAACCCAAGCACAAAAATTTATAAGTCTACAACTGTACCTCATGGTGTTTCACTAATAAAACTTAAAAATATATATTTAATTTCTGTGAAGTTCTAACATTTTACTAGTAGTTTTCAAATATATATGCAACTATAAGTATTTTCTATGAACTTGCCAATCATAAATTTTCAACCACCAGAGGGCAACATTGTCCATAAACCTTTGAGAAACTTAGCGAGTAGGGATGAAAGCAAGAGGAAGTGTCCGCAAAGAGAAAATTTTAATGAAATGAAACCAATTACATTTTACAATCTAAGAAACTAATAATCCTCAAGAAGCTAAGGCATATATGCACAGAGTATATAATCTTTAATTCAAATATCTGCCAAAAAAACCTTAAAAGCAATTTGCTAATAGCAAGCACTTTATATTTCCTATTTGTTTAATTTATATATATGTATATTTATTTATTAGGGGCTGGAGCGATAGCACAGCGGGTAGGGCATTTGCCTTGCACACAGCCAACATGGCCGACCCGAGTTCGATTCCTCCGCCCCTCTCGGAGAGCCCGGCAAGCTACCGAGAGTATTCGATATGCCAGACACAATAACAACAAAGTCTCCAATGGAGACATTACTGGGCCCGCTCGAGCAAATCGATGATCAACGGGAGGGCCTTTACTTTTTACTTTACTTATATTTATTTATAAGCCAAAGAATCTGAGTCTAAATTATTAGCTTTAAGATGATAGTAGAAATGGTTCAGTTAGAAACAGAGGAAGAATGCCACTAAGACTGCTGCTTAGTGCTGAAAACAGGGAAAAGAGCAAACCTCTCAGTACCTGTATTGCACACCATAATGCCCCAAAAGGAATTGGAAGAGTGGGAGGAATGGGAGGGAGAGAAAGAAGGGGAGAAAAGGAGGAGAGAGACAGAGAGAGACAGAGACAGAGAGAGGCAGACAGACAGAGAGAGAAAGAGAAAGAGAGAGAGAGAAGGAGAACATAAAGAAAAAAGTGACTACCATAGAGACAGACTTGGGGGAGGGTGGCTGGAGGGAAACTGGGGACATTGGCAGAGGGAAATGTACACTGGTAAAGGGATGGATGTTGGAACACTATGACTGAACCGACTAGCTTTGTAAGTCTGCATCTCATGGTGACTCAGTAAATTGCAAAAGAAGTATGCAGTGTAGTCTGCTATCAGAGAAGATTCAGCACCGATGACTTCTGAGATAAATGAAGTTACCTGCTTGAAACAAATCTCTGGAGGGGAAGAAGATGTAGTGAAAGGCACAATAATGGAATGGAATCTAAAATGTTAAGAGATTACCAATAACGAATTCTGATAGTTATTTCTTTATAAGCTATTGCTATTTTGCTCATGATGTAGTATGATGGTTATTATGACCATTGTGGTCTTTCATCAATTTTGAGTTAACATATTTAAAATAGTGTTTAAGTTTATATTTTTGATGTACAAAGTTTGTGCATGTCAACCATTATTATTATTATTACTTTTTTATTTTTGGGTCACACCTGGCGATGCACAGGGATTCTCCCAGCTCTGCACTCAGGAATTACTCCTGCTGGTGCTCAGGGGACCATATGGGATGCTGAGATTCGAACCCTGGTCAGTTGCATGCAAGGCAAATGCCCTACCTGCTTTGCTATCACTCCAGCCCCGCATTATTGATGTGTCAAAGATATTCACAACTTTTCTGTGTCCTTTATACACTGTGTTTTCCCTACTTCTTGGTAACTTCTTTTCTGTAGTGACAGCCGTAGGGGTTCATTATCACTGGGTACTGCCCATATCTTTGCTTTCTTTATTGCCAATGAGGGAGGCTATCATTTGTCCTTCCTCTGACTAATTTCGC